TTCCGGTCCAGCCCACAGGTGGGCGATTGCTACATGAGCAATGAGGCTAATGATCAACCAGTTCAACCTGTTATGAAACACCCAACTATTAAAAAGAAAAGAAAAAAAAGAGTCAAATGTGTACACACACTGAACTCAAAGGACATTCTTGTGGATGAAGCTGTTGTTTGTACTTTAAACTTCAGAAATGACTCAGAAAACAGTCGCATATTTTTAACCCATTAAGATTAAATGTTATGTACACAATGTATTACTTACAGAGCAAAGTGGAATTGATTCTCAGTGTATTTCATAACTGCTGCTATATTTACAGCCCATACTCAGGATACTTGCCACTAAAGTGTGATATATAGCAAGTAGTGGCTTGTTCTGTATTTAAATAATCCCTGTTCTGTTCCTTCCATTTGGAAATCTGTTTAAAGTTTCTTTTTTTTTGGATCTATTATGCTATGTTTTTATCTTTGAACTCAACTAGAGCAGCTTTGTATATGTCACAGTCAAAATATGCCCTACTCGTCTTTTATTGGTCGTTGATGCGACTCTTCTGTTCAGCTCCACTGTCTAAAAGAAGCTAGTTTCCCCTGTTTCCTATGCTTTCTTCTGTTGACCTCCATAAACAGAACATTTGAACAGAAGGAAAGTTTGCTCTAGCAAGATAGTGGCCAACTTTATCAACCAATAAAGCTTGATACTCATCAAGGCTCATTTAACTTTGAAGTAATTTTAGACTGTTGACAACTAAAGGCTGAAATGTGAGAAGTTTTACAAGTGGATTTATGGACGTATCATTGATTTTTATTCAGTTGCTATACGACCCGAAGAACGGATTCAGATTTTTAGGTATAATTAATAGCTCAATTGTTTATTCAAAAGGAAAATCAAATAGATAGAAGATGAAATGAGATACAGATGAAGAAAAGAAGCAGCCCACAGATACTGTCTATGTTTAAAGCCAAGAGCTCTGTGCTGTTAGGGGTAGGGTCAGCTTATATCAAGGACCACCATCTAACCTAGCATAAACTTTGTGGAGCATGGTTTATCCTCCTGTAATTCAAAATTGTGCCCATTCGAGCTCTGACTCTAAAGTAAAACCCAGATCCTGATCGCATATTAAATGAATTTAGCTGAATTGGACAAGAACCCAACATTTAAGTGGGTGGAGCACACTTAGGCAATTCAATGGTGAACTCTTTGTGTGGAAATGAACATGAGTGGACATACCCACATCCAGCTCCACTGTTGTAACCTTCCTGGCGACATTTTTCTGGAATATGAGGCACTGGTACTTTCCAGTATCAGACACCTGCACATTGGAGATCCGTAATGAGATGTTTCCATCTTTCAGCTCGTTCATGATGAGGCTTGTCCTGTACTCGAAGGCTGGATTCTTCATCTCGTAGGCCTCACAACCATCCCGGTACAAGAAGACAACATCTGGCTTCAAGCCTTCCTTGGACCACTCAACAGTCGGAAAGTCTTCCTTGTCAGAGATATTGAAACTGCACGGTAG